TTTACAGTTTATCTCTATCTATAATAATATTCAAGATAATAACCAAAAGCTGCAAAATTTTCTTAAAATGACCAATTCAGGGGCAGCAACCCAACAACGTGTTGCCTGATTGGTCTGAAAATTTCAGGGCAGATAGATCTTGACCTAATGAACAATTTTATCCGCGTCAAATTTGCTCTAAATGCTTTGGTTTCAGAGATATGAGCCAAAAACTGCATTTTACCCTATGTACTATTTTTTAGCCATGTCGGCCATCTTGTATCGGGCGGGGTCATCGGACACAATTTTTAAACTAGATACCCCAATGATGATTGTGGCCAAGTTTGGTTAAATTTGGCCAAGTAGTTTCAGAGGAGAAGATTTTGTAAAAGATTACAAAAATTTACGAAAAAATGGTTAAAAATTGACTATAAAGGGCAATAACTCCTTAAGGGGTCAATTGACCATTTTGGTCACGTTGACTTATTTGTAGATCTTACTTTGCTGAACATTATTGCTGTTTACAGTTTATCTCTATCTATAATAATATTCAAGATAAAAACCAATAAAATGCTTCGCTGGGGCGCAGCTTGATACGACCGCAGAGGTCGAACCCTGAACAGTTGGGGCAAGTATGGACACAACATTCAAGCTTGATACAGCTCTGAATTTGGATTGTTATTAAATATTTGACACAGCATAGGTTTCTGACACAGAAAGAATGTGGTCTAAGAACTTGATTTTTTTTAATTTACCTATTATGGTCCAATGTCCAAAATCAAAATACATGGTTAGATTCAGCATATCAAAGAACCCCATATATTCAATTTTTGTTAAAATCAAACAAAGTTTAATTTTGGACCCCAACTTGGACAAACTTGAAAACTGGGCCCATAATCAAAAATTTAAACACATGTTTAGATTCTGCATATCAAAGAACCCCAAGAATTCAATTTTTGCTAAAATCAAACTAAGTTTAATTTTGGACCCTTTGGACCTTAATGTAGACCAATTTAAAAAACGGGACTTAAAATTAAAAATCTAAATACACGGTTAGATTTGGAATATCAAAGAACCCCAATAATTCAATTTTTGATGAAATCAAACAAAGTTTAATTTTGGACCCTTTTGACCTCAATATGAACCAATTTGATAGCTGGGCCTACAAATAAAAAATCTAAATACATGGTTAGATTCAGCATATCAAAGAACCTCATATATTCAATTTTTGTTGAAATCAAACAAAGTTTAATTTTGGACCCCAACTTGGACAAACTTGAAAACTGGGCCCATAATCAAAAATTTAAACACATGTTTAGATTCTGCATATCAAAGAACCCCAAGAATTCAATTTTTGCTAAAATCAAACTAAGTTTAATTTTGGACCCTTTGGACCTTAATGTAGACCAATTTAAAAAACGGGACTTAAAATTAAAAATCTAAATACACGGTTAGATTTGGAATATCAAAGAACCCCAATAATTCAATTTTTGATGAAATCAAACAAAGTTTAATTTTGGACCCTTTTGACCTCAATATGAACCAATTTGATAGCTGGGCCTACAAATAAAAAATCTAAATACATGGTTAGATTCAGCATATCAAAGAACCTCATATATTCAATTTTTGTTGAAATCAAACAAAGTTTAATTTTGGACCCCAATTTGGACCAACTTGAAAACTGGGCCCATAATCAAAAATCTTAATACATGTTTAGATTCAGCATATCAAAGAACCCCATATATTCAATTTTTGTTGAAATCAAACAAAGTTTAAATACTGGACCCTATCTTGGACCAACTTGAAAACTGGGCCCATAATCAAAAATCTAAACACATGTTTAGATTCAGCAAATCAAAGAACCCCAAGAATTCAATTTTTGTTAAAATCAAACTAAGTTTAATTTTGGACCCTTTGGACCTCAATGTAGACCAATTTAAAAAACAGGACCCAAAATTAAAAACCTAAATACACGGTTAGATTTGGAATATCAAAGAACCCCAATAATTCAATTTTAGATGAAATCAAACAAAGTTTAATTTTGGACCCTTTTGACCTCAATATGAACCAATTAGATAACGGGGTCCACAAATAAAAAATCTAAATACATGGTTAGATTCAGCATATCAAAGAACCCCATATATTCAATTTTTGTTGAAATCAAACAAAGTTTAATTTTGGACCCCAATTTGGACCAACTTGAAAACTGGGCCAAAAATCAAAAATATAAATACATGTTTAGATTCAGCATATCAAAGAACCTCATATATTCAATTTTTGCTAAAATCAAACAAAGTTTAATTTTGGACCCTTTGGACATTAATGTAGACCAATTTGAAAACTGGACCCAAAATTAAAAATCTAAATACACTCTTAGATTCGGCATAACAAATAAATAAATGTGATCAAAGATTTTACAAATCTAATGCGCCATACTGTGCAATTAAAGATTACTTCTTGAAATTTTTCAATATTTGAAATTTGAAAAAAAAATAATATTTGAAGAATAATTCTTTTTAATTTCTGAAATCTGAAATGAGAAAAAATTGGCCCCCCACAATTTCTTTTTATCCCCCCCCCCCCCTTTTTCCCCCCAAAAAATTCTTTCCCTCAAGATATGGTCATAATCTCAATTCAAATTTCCAATGGAGTTGGCAACCATAATTACCCATTTAAATTTACCATAGTGCTAACTTAATCTATTTTATAATAGAATTAATAAAAATATAGTGTCAAATCTTTCATATGGATTTTTTTGTAAAAAAAAAAGATGAAAACATTTGCAGATATTTTTACTGGTCTTCCTTTATAAATATGCATTTCTTTAAACATAATTTAAAAGCAGAGTAAGGGAAGTAACCAAAACGTTGTATTTGGATTACCTCCCTTACACTGTTTTAGATTATCTTTATTGTTCATTAACCATTACTTTATACATAATTTAAAAGCAGTGTAAGGGAGATAATTTCAATGATGTATTTGATTTATCTCCCTTACACTGCTTTAAATTATGTTTTGTACTAAAGTATTTGTCCATTAACCAGGACAACCTTGTTTTTCCCCCTTTTTTGCCCCTAATTCCTAAATGGTTTGAGCCATAACCCCCCAAAGCAAATCCTAACCATCCCTTTGTGGTATGGAAACTTGTAGTATAATTTCAGAGAGATCCATACACCGTTCCACAGTTATTGTCTGGAAACTAGAAAATGCTCATTTTTGGCCCCTTTTTGGCCCCTAATTCCTTAACTGTTGGTACCATAACCCCCAAAATCAATCCCAACCTTCCTTTTGTGGTATTTAACCTTATGGTCAATTTTCAAAAAGATCCATTCACTTAAACTAAAGTTAGAGTGCGAAAACCAATATGTATTCGGACGACGACGCCAACGTCATACCAATATACGACCACAAAATTTTTTTGCGGTCGTATAAAAACTGCAAAATTTCCTTAAAATTACCAATTCAGGGGCAGCAACCCAACAACGGGTTGTCCGATTCATCTGAAAATTTCAGGGCAGATAAATCTTGACCTGATAAATAATTTTACCCATGTCAGATTTGCTCTAAATGCTTTGGTTTCAGAGATGTAAGCCAAAATCTACATTTTACCCCTATGTTGTTTTTTTAGCCATGGCGGCCATCTTGGTTGGTTGGCCAGGTCACTGGACACATTTTTTAAACTAGATACCCCAATGATGATTGTGGCCAAGTTTGGTTAAATTTGGCCAAGTAGTTTCAGAGGAGAAGATTTTTGTAAAAGATTACAAAAATTTATGAAAAATGGTTAAAAATTGACTATAAAGGGCAATAACTCCTTAAGGGGTCAACTGACCATTTTGGTCATGTTGACTTATTTGTAGATCTTACTTTGCTGAACATTATTGCTGTTTACAGTTTATCTCTATCTATAATAATATTCAAGATAATAACCAAAAACAGCAAAATTTCCTCAAAATTACCAATTCAGGGGCAGCAACCCAACAACGGTTTGTCCGATTCATCTGAAAATTTCAGGGTAGATAGATCTTGACCTAATGAACAATTTTACCCCATGTCAGATTTGCTCTAAAGGCTTTGGTTTCAGAGATATAAGCCAAAATCTACATTTTACCCCTATGTTCTATTTTTAGCCATGGCGGCCATTTTGGTTGGTTGACCTGATCACCGGACACATTTTTTAAACTAGACACCCCAATGATGATTGTGACCAAGTTTGATTAAATTTGACCCAGTAGTTTCAGAGGAGAAGATTTTTGTAAAAGTTTACAGACGACGGACGCAAAGTGATGAGAAAAGCTCACTTGACCTTTTAGGTCAGGTGAGCTAAAAAATTAGAGGCACATCTGGTGAAAAAAAATTGCCAGTGTGAATATGGTGTTAATCAATTAGTAGGGTGAAGCTACATGTAACACTTCTATTCTTGGGTAGCTTTCACATAAATTGGAAACATATGAAGGAATTGGATGATTTATTTTGCACCAAATTTTAAAATCTGTACATGTTATAAACTGAACACCTACTGTGAACATTTAAAGAAAATGCATTGTAGAAAGATGAGGTCAAGATAAAAATATCCTCAATGTCAAACTATTACCCTGAAGAAGATGGAATTGTGTTGGGTCAATCAGATACTTTAACATTGAAAACTTTGAAAGAAAAGTCTAATGAAGTTAGACTACTGATCAGTATTTCCTTTATGGCTGACTCAAACTATCCTGATTCCATTATTTCTCTATCAATCAACATGATCAAGTATTATTTTTAAGAAGTCTTACTGGAAATTCCAACACTTTTATAGTTTTATTCTAAAGTTGTTACAGCCAAATATCATTAATATCAATCTAAATGAACTGAAATGGACATTGTACCTGTAAATATGCATTTATTTGGTAAGTGACAAACATATTAAAAAAATCCAATACAATGGAACTTAAAACAAACACCACAAACATACATGTAAACATATATATGTATGAAAAATTACAAAATGATATAAGCTTACAACATTTATTCACACTTACGCTGGGGGTCCACCCGGTACTGATTGAGTATTTTGAGGAGCAGACCTGTTCAAATGATATTCAAATTTAGATAATAAATATAAATTAATGTTTGTGCTTTGAAGTTCTGTTCCAATCTGCACTGTTAGCCACTAGTCCGATGCCCCAGACTAGTAAGAATTTGTAACACTTTGATTAGACACTTAAGAAAAAAATGTCAGAATATTGGTCTTCAGACTAGTTATAGAACAAGATTTTAGTACAGACTGCTGTAAACACACAAGATGGGTCAGTCAAAAATTAATCTAGCTAATGTTAAGGTGACTGCTGTTCATATATACTGAAAATCCAAGATGATGTGCATGAATTAGAAAAGCTAGTCAAAGAGATAGTCTGCCTGACTAACTACAAACTAGGATCTGTTAACATCCTTGTCCTAAGGGAACGACAACTTTACTTTGAAGAGGGGTGTGTATTTTTTTTGTTCTAAATATTTTTTGTACCAAGCAAGCATCAAATCATAGACAATTTTCATAATTCATGCACTTTTCGGTAAATTTCCTACATGTATGTCACAATACTTAAGTTAATACCTCACAGTAAGAAATGATTGTTTTCGATGACATTGTTTATGCTGATGGGCCTCTGCAGTGTAATTCGTTCATAAAAAACAACTCCAGATTGGTGTTTTGATGTTTTTGTCACCAATGCATGAAAATTTTGAAGAAGTTAACATTAAATTTTATAGCAAAAGCACTCAATCAGAATTTTCTTTCTCTCTGCTTAATCTCATATTAATTTCTTCAAGGTGGGGATTCGGTATTTCTTTTAGAGGAAAAGAAAAGTATATATATATATACCCCACCCCCTCAAATGTTGTATTGTATTTGACTATTGACTATTAAATGGTCGGTTATTTTTGTCGATAAAATCATACCAAATACTTTTATATTTACACTTTGGATCACTGTTCTCATGGGTTGTACCCTAACAATGATGACATATAACTCGAGAATGTTTTCTTGAATACGGAAATCGGCCCAACAGCCGGATTTCAGGATTCTGGTAGAGTGATGCAGACAGCTTCAACACCATACATAATTTCTTAGGAAATCGGCATGCGATTTTAATATTACATGACAAAAACATTCTCTATACTCACATGGTGCTATAAGTTATCTGTTTGCAGTGCTACAGTACTAACTGATGCCAACTGCATAAATATTACAAGCGGTCAACGTAAATTTATTGAGGAAAAATGGCGAATAAATTTACTGACGTCATTATCCGGGAAGTTGTATCATCTCTGCCACTCGAACGATTGGAACCTACGTGTTTTTTACATAAAGCGTTTTTGAGATAGAGATTGTTCTAAATATAGAAAAGAGTCAACGTCATTCATTCATGCATTATGAGGGTACAGATGGGATCTCTATAACACGCCATAACCACTTTATTAATTAATCATAGTTTATTTCTGATTAACCTGGATAAATTCAGAATTGTGATTAATTCCGCATTAATCCAGATAAACCGGGAATTTCTAAAAACAAGTAATACAAATCATTAACTAGAGCAAGGATTTGTATAGTCAGAAGCTTCTCACTATACAAATCCTTGACTAGAGAAAACCCCGGTTTATCTCTACGGTCAACCAGGAATGGGGGGGGGGGGGGGGGGCAAGGGTGGTTCCTATAACAAGCAACACAGTTAATTGATTTGGCTTAAAACAGATAACAAGGAATTGAAAAGGGACAAAAACAGATAACAGTTAATGAAATATTAAATCAGTCCGGTCCAGGACCAATCCAATAGATCTTATTATATAACTGGTTGTATGGACCTATACCTAGGCCTTAACAGAGACATACATACATTTTAATTATGATCCTCATCATGTATCCTGGCCATATGTTTTTCTTTTTGTTATACATGTATTAATAATTGAATAGATTTGAATTTAATATGTACGCATGCGGATACAAGGAACATTATCTCCATATATATGTAAAATTCAAATTCGAACAATTCTTAATATCAAGAAAAAGGAAAACATATGACTAGGGATACAGTGGAGATCACTTCTAACCTCTCATTAGAACTGTCAGAAAAATCTGTCATAGAACTGTTCTAAACTGTTCTAGAACAGCTCTACCCTAGAACTATTCTAAGTAGAACTGTCAGGATCAGTTCTAGGGTAGAACTGTCTAAAACTGTTCTAGGCAGAACTGTCCAAATCAGTTCTACTGAGTCGTAGAACTGTCAGCAGAACTGACCAAATCAGTTCTAACCGTAGAACTGTCAGCAGAACTGACTAAATCAGTTCTAACCGTAAAACTGTTCTAGCCGTAGAACTGACCAAACCTGTCAGGATTGTAGAACAGTTCTAAATGACGTCACTGAATGTTAAAACAGTGCTGTGATGAGATTTTTTTAATATATATTATATTCTTTTGACTTTTATATTTATATTTAAGACAAAGAATTCTTAAAACTGTTCTATTGATAGAACTGACTAAATAAATTCTAGCCGTAGAACTGACCAAATCAGTTCTAATCGTAGAACTGTTCTAGTCGTAGAACTGTTCTAGCCGTAGAACTGTTCTAGTCGTAGAACTGTTCTAGCCGTAGAACTGACCAAAGATTTGGTCAGTTCTATGTAGAACTGTCTAAAACTGTTCTAGGGTAGAACTGTCAGGATCAGTTCTAGGGTAGAACTGTCAGGATCAGTTCTAGGTAGAACTGTCTAAATCAGTTCTTGGTAGAACTGACCAAATCAGTTCTAGGTTAGAATTGTTCTAGCAGGATGACAGTTCTACATACTGTCCTAGAACAGTTCTCCTGACAGATTCTGACAGATTTGATGAGACGTTAGAGGTGATCTCCACTGTACAAGTCATCATTTTGTACAAATTATAATTTGTATTTTGACTTTGTACGAATTGTAATTTGTACAAAAAGTGAATTTGTACAAATTTCGACTTAAATTCCCTTAAAACTTGTACAATAATTTATAGTATGGATGTTGCATTTTTCTGAACAAAATTACTAGCTTCTGTTTTTGTTAAAGTAATATTTTAAAATCAAGGGCATTTGATAGTAGATCAATTTTTGTGGTTTGTTTTTTTTTCTTTCTTAATTTTCCGAGAAAATGAAGCCAGTGACGCCTTATATTAATTTTGATTTTTAGAACGTTTTTTTTTTTTTCTGATAAGCAATTTATAGTATGGATTTTGTTAAAAACATTGATGACCACATAATAAACTTTAGTTATAAAATACAAAAAAAACCAGATGGAGACAGGAAATGTAATTGATACATGCATGCCAGTTACATGTACACTTAATTCTGATAATATAACAGAAATTGGCCCGAGTGATAATCTGGATGACACCAAGTAAAACACCAATCTTGCATCTTATGTGAAATTATTGATTATGGAGAATTTGGGTACGGCATCGGAACAGCTGTTGGATTTATAAAAGTACATTTTTCGAGAAATTAGATTGAAGCTGTTAGAGACACATCTTTATTTGCAACAACGATTTCTGAGCTTCATCTTGCGCTATGTGAAGCAGTCAAAAAGCTTTCATAAAACTGGTGGTCAGGGTTCTTTTTCATGTAAATGCAAAGAGGGGAAGTAGCACTTCTAGATGTAAATTCTAAAAGGAAAATATGTTGTGTAATTCTCAAGCCATAGTTAACTCACATGCTCAAACAAATGATACAACTATTTTTGTATTTTGTAAATAAGTATTAAAGAATATGTGGTATGATTGCCAATGAGACATCTCTCCAAAAGAGACCAAATGAAACAGAAATTAACACCTATAGGCCATCATACAGCCTTCAACAATGAGCAAACCCAAACGGCATAGTCAGCTATAAAGGCTCTGGAATGACAAATGTAAAACAATTCAAACGAGAAAACTAATTTATCTACAAAATTAATGAACTAAAGAAATATGTAACACAGCAACAAACGACAACCACTGAATTACATGCTCCTGACTTGGGAAAGGTACATACAGAGTGTGGTGAGGTTAAACATGTTAGTTGGCGCCAACCCTCCCCTTTCCTGAAGGGACAGTGGTTTAACTGTACAACACAAGGTTTATTATTTGGTCATTGAATGAAAATTTTATAGTTTGTACCAATGCTTTTTTATAACAAAAGCAATGCTTTAAGTTATTGTACAAGTTATATTTATAAGTGAATTTTAGTCACTTTTTGTACAAATTACAACTTGTACACAAATGTGTACAAAGTCAAAATACAAATTATAATTTGTACACATTTTTTTGGTGCAAAATGTCATCTACACACATGTTCACAGACAATGGAATTACAAAGGATAATAATAATATAAACCCCAATAGATATAAGAAGATGTGGTATGAGTCACAATGTCTTCAATTATCTTCAAATTCTACCGAAGATTGGCTGTCAAAATGCTAACATTCCAATTTTCAATAACAGTTAACAGCAAATGCATTTTCACAATAACAGATAACAAAAAAAATAATAGTCCTATAACAGCTAACAAGGAATAAGACACTAACAGCTAACAGCAAATATATTTTCAGAATAACAGATAACAAAGAATTAAATTGCCCCATAACAGCATAACAGTTAAACCCCTTGCTCCCTAGGAATTAGTATAGAGAGTCAACCAAGGATTTATAATATAATATACTATATAAATTCTTGTCTCAATAAAATAAGCCAATTTAGAAAAGGATTTATATAAGACTATATTTCAGGGGCAACAACTCCAAAACCGGTTGACAGATTTTTCTGCAATTTTCAGACGGTAGATACTATATAAATCGATGAAAAAAAAACCAATTCAATTTACCACCATAAGTTTACCAACATTTTAATCAACTTTGTACAGTTGAAATACACTTGGAGGTATTTGAGTTCTTTTGTATGAAATTTCATTATCTATATGAAAGTCACGGTAAATTGGTTCAGTATAAAATACAATCACTGACTCGACAAATAAAAAATGTCGCCATAGAGTAATGCAGGGACATTTTATACTAACTAGTATAGACTGTCCCTGGGTAATGGAGGCAAATGAGGCAAATGTCTCACTTTTGAAATGACGACTGAATTCGGCAAAATTTGGTATTTTGAATTATTAATAAGTAAGATTAAGCAATGCTTTATTTAACGCTCACACTATGCTTAGGATTCAGCAACAACGATTGGAGCTTTTTTTACCTTCACCACTTGTGACATATAAGAGGGTGTGCATGGATGGGGTTTACAGAATAGAGAATAATGGGCAAAAAAAAACAAAATAAAGAGAGAAAAATGGGCAAAAAAAGTAAAGAATAGAGAATAATGGGGGTGCTAAAATATAAAGAATAATTACAAAAAATAAAGAATTGGGTAAATATGTTAGATGTATTTCTATTTGTATCCATATGATTAGTTAAGCCTTTTTCAACTGATTTTTATGGTTTGTTCTTATGTTGTACTGTTACACCACTGTCCCAGGTTAGGGGAGGGTTGGCGCCTTCAAACTAGTTTAACCCCGCCACATTCTGTATCATACGGTGCCTGTCATGATGCTGTTACGAAGTCCCCCAAATAAAGCTCCCATAATTAGTCATTCCCAGGAAGGGGGTGGGAGTGACCCCAGGGGATTCGCCTTTTATTTCATTTGATTTGTTTTATTGTCCCATACAAGAATATATATGGTTTAGGGGTGGGGATCTCGACTGTTTACAAGTTTTCAAAAAGAAGGGGGTGGGGTGACCCCTATGAACTTCCTCTATATTTCATTTGATTTGTTTTATTGTCCCATACAAGAATATATATGGTTTATGGGTGGTGATCTCGACCGTTTACAAGTTCTTAAACAGGAAAGGGGTGGGAGTGACCCCAGGGGACTCGCCTTTTATTTCATTTGATTTGTTTTATTGTCCCGTACAAGAATATGGGGTGGGGATCTTGACCGTTTGCAAGTTCTCAAAACAGGATGGGGTGGGGGTGACACCCAGGGACTCCTCCTATATTTCATTTGAATTGTTTTATTGTCCCATACAAGAATATATATGGTTTAGGGGTGGGGATCTCGACCGTTTACAAGTTTTCAAAAAGAAGGGGGGTAGGGTGAACCCTGTGGACTTCCTCTATATTTCATTTGAATTGTTTTATTGTCCCATACAAGAATATATATGGTTTATGGGTGGTGATCTCGACCGTTTACAAGTTCTTAAACAGGAAGGGGGTGGGAGTGACCCCAGGGGACTCGCCTTTTATTTAATTTGATTTGTTTTATTGTCCCGTACAAGAATATATATGGTTTCAGGGTGGAGATCTTGACCATTTACAAGTTCTTAAAACAGGATGGGGTGGGGTGACACCCAGGGACTCCCCCTATACTTCATTTGACTTGTTTTATTGTCCCATGCAAGAATATATATGGTTTAGGGGTGGTGATCTCAACCGTTTACATGTTCTCAAACAGGAGGGGGTGGGGCTGATCCAGAGGGACTTCCCCTATATTTCATTTGATGTGTTGTATGATCCTATGATCATTACTGAAAACCGCATGTATACATCACTTACTGTTTTCAAGTTATAGTCATTTGAAAATTAGAAAAAAAAAATCCCATAGGGTTCTATAGTAAATCCCTCCCTTCTGTTGGCCCCTCAAAATACCCCTAAATAGACCTCAAGAAGAAAAATAAAAGAACTTAGCAAAACAATAAGTCTCCAAACTTTGTTTGGGAGACTTAATAGCAAGTAGTATAATTACGAATTTTGTTATGGTCCGATTTTCTGATGCCGATTATGTAATAGGCCGAATTTATTATAGTCCGAGTTTGTTGTGGGCCGAGATGAGATACCGGGATACTTTCGATACACTCGGGCTTTTACGTCTTTAATAAACATTGTGAAAATCGTAGTAAGCGTCGAAAAATGTTCATTCATGAAATATTTTAAACACGGTATTTATTTTCTCTTCAACCGGAGGACAGGAGGAAACCCCTGAAACCGGGATTATAGTACTCCCGTTGATATGGATCTCGCGCATGTCTGGGGAATACCGATAAAAGCATAACGTAGAAACTGCTGTCTCGTGTAGATGTGTATTGATTTTACTTTCCGTGCAGCGCAGATCCGCGAAGTAGTGTTTGTGGTAGCCATTTTCAAAATGAAGTTGAAGTTGAATTATCGATGAATATTCACTACATTTTAATTCAAACTGTAAGCTAATCAAAATAGAAGTAACTCAAAATTTCAAAAGCATCTTCCTAGAATTAGTTGTCAAACACCAGTACTACATTATCTAGGAGTAGAACACACATCCTAAAGTAAGATAGTCTGTCACTTCCGGTTTGAGGCCGATGCCTTAGGAAAGTTTTTGCTATAGCAAACTTTCCAAAAATTCGAATTTTCAGAGCGAACTGAGATTTTTTACAGGATATATCGGATTCAGTGTGTTTTATAATTGTATTTCTTGTAAGATAGGTAAAACTAGGTACAATAGATTAGACTAAGGTTATAAAGACAATACCAAAGCGAGATGTAGAAAGTCTCGTGAAAATAAGCTTGCTGACAGAGATTTATTATTATATTATGACCGGACAATTTGGACTGTGCAATGAAATTAGTTTTTAAACAACATTTTATGAATTCAATTGTTTTAATGTATATTCTTGTTTTGCATTTATTTTATTATTCTGAACTTTGTCGTAAATTTAGGCATAAGTGTTTTACACGGATTATGTGTCATAATCTTGGACAAAGGACTTACACTCAATTTACAATAACCTTGACAAATCTCACTACTAGCCTTGTTTGTAGTCTGCTCGACTGTCTTCTCTACAACTTGATCGTCTATTATTGTCCTTTGTATCCCAATGAATTCTTTGTATATGTAAGAGAATGATAATCCCTTTCTTCATGATTAAGTACGAGCGTTAGCGAGTACTTATCATGAAGTAAGGGATTATCATTCTCTTACAAACTTAGAATATTGTAAAGTGCTCAAGGCTCAAATGATCTATTCAAGAATTAGTTTCATTGTCAGTGCAATGTTTATAATTAATGCATGACTTCTTTTTTCGGCATGTCATTTATAGATTAGTTTTAGTGAAGTGAGGACTTTCTTATCATTTGGGAAATATTTAAAAAAAAAATGTGTTATAGATATTAGGTGACACAACAGTAGAAAGAAAAGGTAGGAATTGTATGTTTCCTGATTGTGAGTATGAATGTAAATCATGTAATATTTTAGTGAGGAATTATCCTTTTTTTATTTACAGTTTAAACCAATAAATACATTTGAGTTACAACTAAATTTTATTTCACAGCCAATATTTTGGTCCGGCTTTTTACATCAAATACAGTTTCATTATGTCAGGGAAATGTTCAAAAATAGTGCCCTTAAAAGTTTTTAATATGTTCAAAATTAAACTCCTCTGTTTTTTTTATCGGAATACATGTATTGGAAATAACTATTTTCCACAACCGCTGATCAAGTAATTAAAGTTTTGGAAAGCTAAAGATTTAGGTTATTTTTTATCTGAAAGTTTTTTTTTCTTTCTATTTTTTTGCATTGCTTTTGTATTGTTTAATTTTATAGTAATTTGAAGTTATAAATATTTTCATAATAACATTCATGGTACCAATTTTACTGCACCAGTAAACTTCAACTTATTTTGAGATTTTTGTTTGTTTCACAATTCAACTTTTAGTCAGTTTCAATCACTGTGTGATAAATCCTTTCAATCTGATAAATGTGCTTTGGGGCAGTTGTAACTCATTTATAGAAACTCTTTGTTTTGAACTGTAAATAGACCCAAATAATAGGATAATCGTATATGTAAGAGAATGATAATCCCTTTCTTCATGATTAAGTACGAGCGTTAGCGAGTACTTATCATGAAGTAAGGGATTATCATTCTCTTACAAACTTAGAATATTGTAAAGTGCTCAAGGCTCAAATGATCTATTCAAGAATTAGTTTCATTGTCAGTGCAATGTTTATAATTAATGCATGACTTCTTTTTTCGGCATGTCATTTATAGATTAGTTTTAGTGAAGTGAGGACTTTCTTATCATTTGGGAAATATTTAAAAAAAAAATGTGTTATAGATATTAGGTGACACAACAGTAGAAAGAAAAGGTAGGAATTGTATGTTTCCTGATTGTGAGTATGAATGTAAATCATGTAATATTTTAGTGAGGAATTATCCTTTTTATGAACAACTACAACATGTTTGGGACAACATCCCCAAAAGAGACATCAAAATAGTCATGGGTGATATGAATGCTAAGATTGGGAAAGAGAACAAGGACAGAGAGAAAACATTAGGAAAACATGGTCTAGGAGAAATAAATGAGAATGGAGAAAAGCTAGTTGAATTCTGTGAGATGAATGAGCTTGTAATAGGAGGCAGTTTATTTCCACACAAGAATATACACAAGGAGACATGGGAATCACCTGATGGGAGAACAAAAAATCAGATTGACCACATCATGATAAGTCAGAGATGGAGAAGCTCACTTCAAGACGTTAGAGTTATGAGAGGAGCAGATATCAGCTCAGACCACCATCTTATCATAGCCAAAGTAAAAATAAAACTTGCAAAAGGGACCAAAGTCGAACAAAAACGTATAAAGTATAATGTGGAGAAGCTCAAAGACCTACATCTCAAAGATCAATTCCAAATCGAGCTCAGAAACAGATTTGAAGTACTTAAAGATGGGCCAGACCTGGACATAAATAATGAATGGGAAGTGGGAAGAGACATCATCAAGGAAGTGTGTGAAGATGTACTTGGAAGACAAACTAACAAAAAGAAAGATTGGATGTCACATGGAACATGGGATAAAGTAGAAGAGAGAAGGAAAATGAAGGAAAAGGTAAACAATGCAAGAACAAGGGCTCAGAAACAAGAAGCACAAAACAAACACCAGTTCCTCAACAAAGAAGTGAAAAAATGTTGTAGGAAAGACAAGAGAGAATATGTAAATGACCTTGCAACTGAAGCAGAATTTGCTGCATATAAGGGTGACATCAAAACCTTGTACAATATCACCAAAACTCTTAGTAGACGTAAAACAGCTAAATCTAAACCAGTAAAGGATAAAGATGGAAAAGTCCTAACCAATCTTAACGAACAGATGGAAAGATGGAATGAATACTTTATCAATGTTCTAAATAGACCAGAACCAGACCAACCAGTAAGAGTAGAGCCAGCTGGGGAAGATTTGAACATAAAAATAGATAATATCAAGAAATATGAAGTGAAAAAGGCCATCAAATCACTTAAAAATGGAAAATCTGCAGGCATAGATGGAATACCACCTGCAGCTTTCAAATCTGGAGGCAATGAAATAATAGAATATATGTACAAACTCCTGAATAAAATCTGGCAGGAAGAAAAGATACCAACGGAATGGTTAAAGGGTTTGTTAGTGAAGCTGCCAAAGAAAGGAGATTTAGGGCTATGTGAGAATTGGAGAGGCATAACACTTCTATCAGTAGCTAGTAAAATACTGTGCAAAATTATACTCAGCCGAATTAAAGATGCAATTGATCAGGTACTAAGAGATGAACAAGCAGGTTTCAGATCAAACAGAAGCTGCACTGACCAAATAGCAACACTACGTACCATCATTGAACAATCAGTAGAATGGCAATCATCCCTCTATATCAACTTCGTCGATTTTGAAAGGGCATTCGATAGTGTCAACAGAGAAGGGATGTGGCAACTGCTAAGGCATTATGGTATACCAACAAAAATTGTGAACATGATCAAGGCATTGTACGAGGATTTCACAGTACAGGTGATACATGAATCATCATTCACCAACCCGTTACATGTAAATACTGGTGTGAAACAAGGCTGCCTACTCTCCCCTACACTATTCTTGATAGCTATAGACTGGGTAACTAAGCAAGCACTAGATACTACACCAAGAGGTATACAGTGGAACTTCGCACAAAGGCTAGAAGACCTAGATTTTGCAGATGACCTGGCTCTGTTATCTCACCTTTTGAAAGACATGAGAGACAAAACCACCAAACTCCATGAAACAGGAAAAAAACTAGGCCTAAAAATCAACATTAAGAAGACAAAAATTATGAAAGTAAAGACTAGAAAAGGAGGAACAGTTTCAATTGAAGGAGAAGATCTTGAAGAAGTAGACCAATTTACTTATTTAGGAAGCATCATGGATAGAACGGGTGGGACAGATGCAGACATTAGGACAAGAATAAGTAAAGCTCGACAAGCCTTTGCTATGCTGAAGCCAGTTTGGAAATCAACAGCATTTACAGAAAACACCAAAATTCGAATTTTCAACACCAATGTAAAATCAGTCCTTTTTTATGGAGCAGAAACCTGGAGACTTACAGCAGGGGTACAACATCAAATCCAGATTTTTATCAACAAATGCCTGCGCCAAATTTGTAAATTTTGGTGGCCAGAAACAATAAGTAACAAATGCTTATGGGAAAGGACCAACCAGGAACTCGCAATTAAACAGCTAAAGAGAAGAACATGGCAATGGATTGGGCACACTTTGAGGAAACCTGTAGGTATCATCACTAGACAAGCATTAGAATGGAACCCCCAAGGACATCGGAGACCGGGGAGACCATTGCTTTGGGGCAGTTGTAACTCATTTATAGAAACTCTTTGTTTTGAACTGTAAATAGACCCAAATAATAGGATAATCCCTTACTAAGAACATGATTTACATTCATTCTTCACAAATAAGAGGCATCCAATCCTACAATTTCATTGGTCGAGAGTACTTTGCAATATTCTAACCTTACTAAGAACATGATTTACATTCATTCTTCACAAATAAGAGGCATCCAATCCTACAATTTCATTGGTCGAGAGTACTTTGCAATATTCTAAAGAAAACTATTTAGTAACGCTTCGAATACCAGATAATTAGTTGGCTTGGCCGTATAAACTCGTCAATGAGTTGATAAGTCATTGTTATATTATAAAAAGCCTCTGACTAAATTTTATTTTATCTAACTGGTTGGGGCATAGTAGTATTCACCTTATGTCAGACTTATAAATAAGCAATGATATGAAGTTCCTTTTCCCTATTATATTTTTAATAGATCTCTGTACCATCGCCCTCCCCTAAAAAAAATTACATTTCACAAAAGAATCACATGTACAAATTTAATTGAATTGATTATAAGGATATGTATAATATACTAAGTACAGCAAGTCTTTTTACAAATAACCACATCCACGAAATATAGAAATAGACTTCGACGCTGTAACTTGTTCTAGACCGTCACATATAGCCATCTCAGTCCATTCACGTGCGTAATTCATATCACTATGCAAATAGTCTCATTACTTTAAAACATACTTCACATGTATTTAAGTCTGTGTGATATAGAGGTTGATATGATAAATATTTATGACGGTGTCCCAAAATAAATATAAGGGTATTTTCGGCGAATCTACTGTGGTGAAAGCCACAATTGTTCATGACAACAGTGTCCCCTGAACGTAAGCAATATTTTCCAAATCAATCTAATTCATGTAAAGCATTAGAAAAAAAGTCAACGAGATGAAATCCATTTCAAGGTCCACCTAAAATATTGAAATATTCAATTCCAAATGGCCCATGAAGAAGGTTTTCCGTGTGGATGGCATTAGAAGCATATTTGTGTACCTCTATAGCCTTTTCTACTACTGTTGAATGTCCGTAAAGTCTATTTCTAGATGAAAACTCCAAATCGATGAAAAGAATATGTTAGTCCGTTATGAACGTCTGTATACTAGTATCTTTATGCCAAGGTGATATATAAAATAATGTGAAATTAGCATATATAGTTTATTATCTACCCGTACACGTCCGTCATTCGTCATTGTCGTCTTTTTTTACATAGTGCACTTAATGTAGTATCTTTCATGGATCAGAATAACCTTTGTCCTTTCAATTATGGTATACTTATATATTTCAATTTGATGCAGTTTCTTTGAAAGACATATATAAAATAAGAAGAAGTGGTATGATTGCCAATGAGAAAACTAAGGGGACAACCAGTTGCTAATTTTAGGGGAAGGTGGGTTTTTTTCTGAGGGAAATTAATTTTCAACTTTGTACGGTTTTGACGTGCAAACATTACTTTGTACTTTTGTACACCTTTATTTACTGCATTGTGTTGGGTAAAATATACATTTTCATTCTGTTTGGGCGAGGTTATTTATTTTTAAGTCATAACCAGGCCAGACTATTAATTTTCACAATTCTGCACCCCCTCCTCAGAATACCAAGTGGTCGTCCCCTAACATACAGAGTCAAAATAAAGGTGATTACAGCAACTATTGGTAATCATACGGCCTACAACATTATTAGCAAACCCGATACCCTGTAGTCAGTTATAAAAGGCCCTGACATGACAAAATGTGAAACAATTCAAACGAAAAAATCAACGCGAAACAAATATGCTTTCAGAGTTACATGTGATCCATTAGCCAACAAGATTAGGCAACAAAGAGTAATCAAGTAATTGATGAGCTTTATAAACCAAACAAACTAATTTCCCGGTATTCGAAGCGTTACTAAATAGTTTTCTAAAGAATTCATTGGGATACAAAGGACAATAATAGATAATCAAGTAGTAAAGAAGACAGTCGAGCAGACTACAGACAAGGCTAGTAGTGAGATTTGTCAAGGTTATTGTAAATTGAGTGTAAATTCATTTACTCTTTTCATTTAGAATATTGCAAAGTACTCTCGACCAATGAAATTGTAGGATTGGATGCCTCTTATTTGTGAAGAATGAATGTAAATCATGTTCTTAGTAAGGGATTAGCACATACTTACAACTTCTCGTCCAATCAAATTGCTTATATTTGCCTTCTAATTTTCATAGTACATACTTTTCCTGTGTACTAAGTAACTACGCATGAATGACCACAAGGGTAAGATTTCATTGTATCGTAATCAAGATATTTAAAACAAAAATTGCCACTGGCTATTTTGAAATAAAATGCTGTGTTCCAAATTAAATTAAATAGTTTGTAATTAGTTTTCACATTGATTTTAAATATCCTGCTATTAAAACCTTTGGATCTAAAAAATGTTTTTGACAATTGCAAATTTTATCATTTAAATAAAGGGTAATACATATGGTTCTTTATACCTTGATTAGAGTACAACGATATCTTAAAATTATGATAATGTATCATCCATGCAATTACTTTGTACACAGAAAAGTGTGTACTATGAAACCTTGTAAAGGAAAATTAAAGCAACTTGGTGATAATTTTTTAAACTTTCTTAAGGAAAGTGATCTATTTCGTCATGAATTGATTGATTTATTGATTATTGGTTGCTTAATGTCCAGTGGCAAATATTTCATGCATGTTCAGGACGATGTCATGAATTGAAAAACTGTGATTATGTCTGAAGATAATGTGCCACCTATATATATATATATAAACATATTCTGATAAATCTTTTAGTTTTTACTTTGAACTAATAAAAAAAAAAACACAAAACCTATAATCTCTGATCTATTTGTAGTTGCTTTTTAATGCCTATCTGCTAGACTATATCTTTGGGGACAAACTATCTATATGTTTCAAACTTATTATAGCTTTAGTTTTACTGTGAAATTAAAAAATGTTTTCAAAACATGTTAAGCTTCCACTGCAATTTAATTATTGCCTGTTTTTGGTCAACTTATTATGTAAGAAGAACATGTATAGTAAAACACCGCTTTATATCAGTATACATACTTACACCAGCAGCTACCATCTTTTCATTCTGGAGTGAAGGGCCTTTTGAAATCACATATTTTACAATGATACTAGTGAGTAGATTTACAAAATTCGTTAATGAGCTCCGTTTTACAAACACCTGTGATACAAGTAGTCAGCCAAAATAAACTATCAATAGACCAATTAAAAGATTACTCGAGTTGTAAATATGTGCTAAATTGGATAGTCTATGGAAAGGTATATACTATGAAATTAAGAGCTTGGGGCAAGCCCCTCGCTCTAAATTTCATAGTATATACCTTTCCATAGACTAACCTAGACTTATCCTATTATTTGGGTCTATTTACAGTTCAAAACAAAGAGTTTCTATAAATGAGTTACAACTGCCCCAAAGCACATTTATCAGATTGAAAGGATTTATCACACAGTGATTGAAACTGACTAAAAGTTGAATTGTGAAACAAACAAAAATCTCAAAATAAGTTGAAGTTTACTGGTGCAGTAAAATTGGTACCATGAATGTTATTATGAAAATATTTATAACTTCAAATTACTATAAAATCATCCGAGTAAACAATACAAAAGCAATGCAAAAAAATAGAAAGAAAAAAAAACTTTCAGATAAAAAATAACCTAAATCTGTAGCTTTCCAAAACTTTAATTACTTGATCAGCGGTTGTGGAAAATAGTTATTTCCAATACATGTATTCCGATAAAAAAAAACAGAGGAGTTTAATTTTGAACATATTAAAAACTTTTAAGGGCACTATTTTTGAACATTTCCCTGACATAATGAAACTGTATTTGATGTAAAAAGCCGGACCAAAATATTGTCTGTGAAATAAAATTTAGTTGTAACTCAAATGTATTTATTGGTTTAAACTGTAAATAAAAAAAAGGATAATTCCTCACTAAAATATTACATGATTTACATTCATACTCAAAATCAGGAAACATACAATTCCTACCTTTTCTTTCTACTGTTGTGTCACCTAATATCTATAACACATTTTTTTTTAAATATTTCCCAAATGATGAGAAAGTCCTCACTTCACTAAAACTAATCTATAAATGACATGCCGAAAAAA